TTCCAAAAGCTGCACACGGACAATCCTCTGATAGATGGCACACTCGCAACAATTAACGATGAACCTTGGACCACTGACCCCATAACGAACAACCCAGACTTAGCGGGGTGCCTAGGGGCCTCGGACCTCGTGCCCTTTTATGCCCCTGATTGGGTTTACGTGAGCCTGTGGAGCACGGGCTCCCAGCTCAAAACCCTGACGGACCTGATATCTGACAGACAGCCGATTGGTCTGGATAGCTTCTATCACCATCAAATTTGTACCTATTACGTGTACAAGAAGAGTAGTGCACAGTTCCACAGAACGCCCACACACTTCGCATCTTTGTGCTCCACCAGGAAGCACATTCGCAGCGGGATTTCAGCGCCCTATACTATGTTGCTAATGGGAGTGAACAATCTGCCTTTGGGATATACCTCTAGATGGGAGACAGCGGTTGGGGTCACCCTAACAGACCAGGATTGGGACAAGATATTCACGCTGACACACAAACGCTCCATCAGCTCCAAATTTCAGGAAATAATATATTAATTACTGACTCACTGGTACAGAACCCCCGACATACTACACCACATGGATGCAGCGATCCCGGCAGAATGCCGGTGCTGCTGTCTAGAAACTGGCACAACTCTCTGCATATGGTGGACATGCCCTGTGATTGCTCCTTTCTGGGAACTGAAAAACACAAAAAATAAGGAAATCTATGTCAGGGTGATGTAGGAGCATGGGGAGTGGCTTTAGTGGAAGGTCTATAGCTGGCTATCAAGAACTGGCCAGCCACCACATAATTAACCCTTGCACAACCAAGGTTTAAAAAAAAAAAATTGGTTCGGATGCAGATATTATTGCTTTTCTGAACACCTTTTGTAGAAATCTGTAGTTTTCCCCAGATTTTGTGAATAACCCTGTTTCATGACTGGCTATAGACTGGCAATAAATTTGCTTTCCTGCATCCCTCCCTAAGTCTGCACCTTCTGCACAACCTTGTAGAGCACGAGCCTGTGGGGGTAGTGAATATTTTTAAAATAAAAAAATGGATCACCAAGCTTTTGTGTTATTTGAATAATTCAAAAACAAGGTTAACAATACAGCTCTTTTGGGAGACTTGTTCAAATTGTAACATTGGCCTTGCAGGAGCAAGTGTATAGAAACAGAATTAACAAAATAAGATTACAAATCCATGTTAATTCTCTAGTATGTGCAGACATTTCCTCTAATCAAGCAGACTCGTTAGCTTTGGAAATTCTCTGTTGGTATTTTGAAATTCTCAGGTTTTTATTATTGGTTGCATGTTTCAACAGTTTCCTAATTGCAATGCAGATGGATAGAGATTTACTAACATATTCTAACCAACATCCTCTTCTTGGCCATGTTTGCTAACTGTACCTCAAAGAAACATTCCAAGAACCATAACCACCTACAGCTTGCTGTAGGGATTAATAGACCAGTAGTGCCCTGACACCCTCTTAGAGCAATAGGTCAATCCATTTAAGAACAGTTTTACAACTTACATGGGTCCCCATGGGAACCCATGGTTCCAATTTTTCCACTGAACTAAGTAGGGCTGTGCATCATTGCTTACATTGGCAGAGACCTAGTGAGCTTGGCCCTTTATAGGCGAGTGCTTGGCTCAGGGAAGACTTTAAGAGTTTTAGAGAAGCAATGAGGATAAATCTATAGTTTAAAGCTTAACAAAGATGTGTGGGTTGATTGAGGTTTGGGGAGTTTTACTAAAAAAATCATCATACTTGAGCAATGTAATGTTTCAAATGTCATTAGGTATGAATTTTCATATGACCATTAAAATGAGGACTTTCTATATAAAATGATTGTGGACTAAAATTCATGTCAAGCTCAGCCACCTACTGGTCACGTTGGTTAGCAATTGGTTGCCTCAATGCCTCTTTATATCAAGTATATATATATATTTTAAAAAATTCTTTATTTTTTGTGCATGAATGAACAAATCCGGCTCGCAGAGCCACAATAGCTAAGACAATCTTCAACAATCATGGAAAACCTTTCTTATCATGTCATAGAGTAGTTTTGCACATGTTTTTTTATACGAGCAAAAAAAAGCAAGAATGATTGGTATGTCAGTGAAGAGAAATCAAGTGTTGTCAACATGTGTCAGGCCCACCGACTCCATAAGAGGTTATATTAATTAATCGCAGGCTTATAAGATAGGATACATGCTATTAAGTGAAATCGTTAGCTTCGATGGAGTTATTGCGGGACACAACAGTAAAACTCTTGCACGAGAGTGCTACTAGGTACGGGAGGTTTGAGTCAGCCTACACCTTGCACATACAGGTTACTGCCCTGGTGTTCTGAGTTCCACACGTCTGCGTTCCTTCTGTCATAGGTTTCAACACAGTCCCGTTAATGAGTCCCTGCACGGTTTTCCAGCATGGCTTGGTCACGAAGTCCGACCCTGGGATACTTATGCCAATAGAAAATATGGCATATAAACGCTTTTACACACACTCTGTGCTTACACATGCGGTAACTGTTGTATTTATTTTTGCATACAAATAGTTATGCTCTGTATTATATTTCACTTGTGTAAAAATTTAATCATTTGACATTTAATTGTTTTATTTGATACGTAAGATGGAACCTCTCTCTGTTTGATTTGTTATATTGTTTCAAAATTCATTTGTTATTTTTTTATGAAAAAAATGTTAATAACATCAATAAAAAAAAAACAAAAAAAAAAAACGGTAAAGAGAAAAGTAGGAGCTTTGACACTGTGCTTGTGTTTTGTATAGTCTATTACTATCCTTACCTTTTTGTGTCACTTTACCCCACTCCCTCTAGCATTCAAGTTCATTGAGCAGGGCCCTCAACCCCTCTGTTCCTGTGTGTCCAACTTGTCTGGTTACAACTACATGTCTGTTCGTCCACCCATTGTAAAGCGCTGCGGAATTTGATGTCGCTATATAAATAATAACATAATAATAGTATGTTGTCAGTGCTGACAGTAGGTCTGACTAGTTCCTATCTTTTTTTTTTTTTGCATTGTGACAAAGTAGCACATTTTATATATAACTGTAGACTACATGGGCAGTGACATGTAGATAAATGCAAATAATAAAGCTTAAACAGCATTGTACACATCAGAGTCATTGTAAATATTAGGACTAATAGTATGGTATAGTATAATATAAATAAAAGTATAACATGGAAAGTAGTGGTATAACGAGCTGAGAGTAGACAGTAGGGGCTAATGGGGTTTCTCTTGAATTCTACAGGTGCCCATTTTGGTGTCAGCTGATGGCGAGAATAAGTGTGGGGTAACAAGTTGTGGAGGCCCTGGAGAGCCATTATACTGTGGTGAGAGCCGCCAAGCATCTCCTACTTAGTTGTAGGTGGAGGGTACTGTGTAGTGCCACCAATTAGAAGGATATAAGATATAAGCCTGTGTAAGTAAATGTATTTTGTGCAATACTGTGGTAAGCCAGGGTGGTAGCTGTGCCCAATAACCCCTGGGCATCTTTGGGAGGGGGCATGTGTAGGAGAGTATTGAGGATCCGCTCCAAATCTAATTGGGCAATTAATGGTGCATAAGATAGTAACATAGGAAATATAAGAGAAATTAAATAAAACGAAACTAAATAAAACAACAGCTGAACTTAAATAGTAAATGCATAAGACAGTCAGCTATTATGGAGAAATAGAATGTGTGGATTCAACAAAGTTCAGGGTGCAGAATTTGCTTTCTGAAGGCTTCACGTTGCCTGGTAGTCAATGTCTCAGCCGAACAAGGCTCCTCAGCCAGTGTCCACTACAGCACGGGGTACGAAAGGGATCGTCCCAGGAGCTGTGTGCAGCCGGTGTAGAGGCCATTTTCTGTGCCACTCCCAGCTGTGCAAGGAAAGAGTGAGAGGCCTTCAAAGCCGTGAGTCAGAAGGTAGCACCGTCTTTAGTGGCAGTGAGGGTGTGGGGTGGCCCGCATCTGTAGGTAATGCAGGCCTCTCTGAGTGTTTTCGTGACTCCTTGGACTGAACGCCTCCAATCCAATGTGGCTCTGCACAAGTCCAGTAGGAAGGTAAGTTGCATGCCTTCAAATTCGAATGGGACTTTGACTTGAGTGCCTCCTCTATGGCTAGCTTGCCCCTGAAGGAGAGGAAGCAGAGTAGGACATCTCTGGGGGCTCCTACTGGTTCCCTTGGAGATTTGGGGAGTCAGTGGGTGCCATAAGTGAGAGCGTGTTTCATTTGTCGGTGCAGTAGCAAGGCGGTGAAGTGGCGCCTGAAGAAATGCAGTAATTCTTCTGGTGTAACCAATTCTGCCACTCTTCTGACTTTGAGGTTCTTGCGTCAGCATGCATCATCCATCACGTCCAGCCTCATCTGCATGGCCGTGAGGGAGGTCTGTAACTGGCGGACCAATTCCGTCGTAGCGGCCTGGTTTTGCAAGAGTGAGGTGATGTCTTCCTACTGCCACTGTCATGAGAGACTGCACAGTATCACAGGAGTTGTGGAATTTGTAGTTCAGTTGTCTACATTATACAATAGAAATACAGTACAATGTGCTGGGACTCCAGTGTATAAGTTCAGCGCTGTTATAAAAAAGTTCAGTGCAGATGCGGCCAACCAAACCTGCAAAGCTGCAGGGTTTACAGCAAACGCAGGACCTTTAATTACAAGCACCTTATTGTTTTGTATTATTGTTCTAAATCTATTTTGACCGTACTCTCTGGTGCATTATAATTATAATTCAAAAAAAGAATGAATCAGTTCCAGTTGATAATATAAATGTGGTTTTGATTGTGATTTGGGACTTTGGAGATTAAAGTTAAGATGGCAGGACACACATCAATAACTGGGACTGTCCCTCCGGATATTGCACCTGGTAGTGTACTAACATTAAAATACAAACAATAACGGGTCTTTGGAGAAAAAAAAATGGATTTGCACAGAATACTTTGCAGTTCAAATTTCTTTATCAGTTATAAAATAATTTTTTTCTGAATTTCTTTATCAGTTACGAACTAGGAATGGAGTAACCGAAAACTGTCTGAAATAAACCAACCCCCTATCCACAAAGAATTTCTCCTTGGGAGGTAGAAGGTATTTCCTCAAAGTCTGAGTGTTAACATCTTCACAATCATGAAGCCATCCTCGTGGTTTTGTCTGGATCACAAGATCCTCCCACCACAGGTTCATCCCACTCAACCATATAAAGTTGAACTGAAGCTTGGTTATTTTCAGTGAGGATTGGGCAGGTAAGTGGTGATGAGTCTACTTATAGAACAAGCATTTCATGATCAAAATATTAGTATGTGTAAAATACTTTTTCCTTAAAGATTCTATACAGAATGGCATGTCTGCACATTGGTTTTGGGATCCTGCTGTTGATCCTTGGAAGCATTGAGAAAACATCATCTACATTCTACGGTATTTATTTTTTCTTTCTCTTTATATGATGGATAATATGCTATTTACTGCTGTAAGATAATAGCTTCAGTATCACTATTTTGTACTTCTTTCCAGCATTTGATTAGCACAATTACTTTGATCCTCATTGCTGTTGGACTATGGTGCACTTGATGTATTTTCCAAAAGCATGTACAGTGTAACAGATGATGGGACACATTAAGCATCATTAACTAAATGTCATCAGTGCAATTAGCATGTGCACCATTGTATATCTTTGCTTTACAATGCGATGGATTACATGGTTATTCACTAAAGTGTGAATTTCTAGGAATTTAAAGTGAATTTCAAATTTTATGCTTAATTAGCAGAAATGATAAATTTATCTGTCAGCTATTTTGTGTCTGGCTGTTTTGGTCTAAAATAGGAGTTTGCAACAATTCACACTCTACTAACGTGCAAACGGCCCAAGGCTGGTTTAGGAAAAAATATTGTTTTTCCATCTGCAAGCAATCAGACTACAAAACCTGTACATTGCTCAGAAGATTTGGGAATTGCAATACAGCCTCTGAATTAAGTTACATGTAGGACAGATTTAAGACTTTCTGAATGTAAATAGCTGAAATCTGTAACTATGGATGATGGGAAAGAACAGTGATAATTAGACAGAATTCACACCTGTCTGAATGCAAATGAAGTTTAACTGAATTTTACTAACCTGCAAGTTTTAGTGAATTCTACATGAATTTAACATTTTATAGAAAATGTATTCATTTTATATGTGGCAGATATTTCTATAGACACATCTTTGATACAATTTATCTACTGGATTACTCTGTATATATCAAATACACAGTGTCTAGTTACATTTACATAATTTTTTCGGCCTACTTAGCATCTAGTGTCCAAATATGTAGCAATTTGACATTATATTTATCACTACTTTTCTATGTTGAGTATTTTTCCCACTAAGGGGATGTATGCCTTGTAATTACGAACAAGTAGTGGTATATAATGTTATATTTTGAGCTCTACTAGGTATAAACAAGTCATTTATGTCTCTTATTCTCTATTGTTATTGCTATTTTTATTGATATTAGTCTGCAGTCACAGATATTGACCTATCAAGGATTATATATTAAAGTCTAAACCTGTGAACTTCAGTGCTTATCTCTAGAGACATTAGGAAGGGAGGTTTGCCATTTGGCATTTATTTTCTACCTCCGTCTGACCCCTTTGTTAGTATTTTCTACAATTGTATTTACTCACTGTATATATCTCTATTTATTATTTTCTATAGTATTATTATTATTCATTATTCCAGTGGATACTCATATATTTGTTATTTTGAGTATCCTATAGTTCTTCTGATTAGGGGTTATGCCCCAAGACACTACTGGAGTGTCTTACAAGGTGTGATCTTCTACAGGTTGAGTGGACTAGTCTATTTTTTAGACAGCCATCACCTGTAGACGTTTTTTTCCTCTTTTTTTCTTACTCTGTAAGCTTTCGCTACATTATTTTTTCTGTTTTAAAACCCTGACTGCTTGGTAAATGACCCAGGATTATTTTATTTCTTGATTGTTTTTTCTCTCTTTAGTGTTTTTTGTTGTTTAAGTGCTTGAACTAATGTATCTAATATTTTGCAGATGGAATTGAGGAACTGGACAATGATATAATTCTAAACTGTATGAATGAAGCAAAACAGCTGGTGGATACAGCTTATAAAAACACCCGCATTGCGTAAGATGACTTTACTAAATACGAAATACATTGTGGATTGCACATTGTTGCATTCCTTTTAATAAAAAAAACAAAAAAAACAAACAGCTTCTTACCACTGTATTCATAAAGGACATATACAAAACTGCAAATGGAATGCATGAATTTAACCTGAAATAACACCATTGAATCAAGCTGTAAACGTGTTCCTAGATATTAAAAAAAACATTTCAGAGTAATCTAGTGTTTGCCAAATAATTAGAAAATGTAAAGAATTCTGCAGCAAATTGCATCTGAGTTGTCCAATGAATGTGTTATTTTACAGGTAGATTTAGGGATTGTAATGTTAGCTTAATGATGTGGTTTTGGTGTATAAATCATGCTACTGCAGTCTCACTGCTCAATTCCCTTCTGTTTCAAAGTAAAATCACTTTGTTTATGCAGCCATAACCACATATCTACTGTGCCTCACATAACATACCCCCAAAAACATTTAACAGCACAGTATGTTTACTTTAGAATTCTTATCTCCTGCTCTGTTACTTGAATGTCACTATCACACACTGTTGCCTGCTGCAGGCTCTAGAAAGTAATTACCATAGCAAGAGATAAGAAATTCAAAATTAAACACACAGTGTTATAAGGAAAACTAAAATATTTTGATGTAGATAATTTTTTAGGGTGTGTGTTGGTATGCTGTCTGAGTCAGGGCTGCATATACAAGGTGATTTAACTCCTAAATGGTAGAGAATTGAGTAATGAGCAGTTAAACTGCAAGGAGAAGCTCTATACACCATAACCATTTAAGTTGGATTAGTTTGGAGATAGGGTTTCTCAGTTTTTACAGTAGTAAATTTAATGCATTTTCTCTCAGGTTTGCCCCTGACCTACACCAATATTTTTACAAATTATTTCTTTTGAAATTGTCCATCCTCTTAAGATAAGAGATAATCGAAAACTAAACTAAAATTAAATCTAAAACTCTTTCTTTTAGTTAATACTAGGCCTTCATTGCTATTATCAAAATCATTGTCACCTGGATCCCAAAAAGAATCTTCTATCTCATTCCTTCCACAGTTTAAAGACACGCCTGAGGCAGAAGGATGTGAGTTCCAGAGATATCATGGCATACTTCAAGCAGCCTGTGGCAGGAAGTAGAACCGCCATTCGAGCTGCTGATTACATGGGCACCACCCTCCAGCTCCTGACAGAGAAAATGAAGCATTTTCACCAGAGACCTTTCAATATCTCAGGTACTACACAAGTCTTTTAAACACTACAACTACAATTTGCATGACACTGCTCACACATCGAAAGAACTTGTAGCATAGTCATATTGTCAATAGACCCTGAGCGGCCTGCTATTGAATTCCTGGAGTTCTGAATACCAAGTGGGTACTCATATCCTAACTCAGGGCACCCATACATCCCCATAAATTGAGTCTCTTGGTTTCTGTAACCACATGCTGTCCCATGTGGCATCAAAAAAAATGAACAGAAGGGTGTCACATGACAGAAACCATGTCCATTTCTCCAGAGTGATAAGGTTAACCCAACACAAGAAATTTATCCAGTTTAAATGCAGGACCACAGGAGAACACACAAACATAAAGGGTTAAGCGTAGGCAAGATTACAAACTTAATTACATTCTAAATAAGGATCTTACACTGCTGGCAAGCAGGATTGATTTAGTTACAGTTAAATGGGAATTGTCACTTCCCAAGATTTTTAAAGTTACATACTTACTCTATATCTAAAAATATTTTTTTTGAAAGTTCAAACAATGCAATTGAAATTAAATGTAGAAGTCCACACTTCTTTAGCCTGCAACTGGACGCTTCCATCTTATTTCCCTGTCAGTCATTGTTATAAACTGTGTCGCTTGCACCTGGCAGTCGATTATGTGAAACATACAAGGAATATGAGAAATTAAACCATGTTTTTATTTCTACTATTCATTTGCAAGGATTTGCCTTGTCTGACCAGGATAATGTGATTTTCTAAATCATTAAAGGGACACTATAGTCACCAGAATAACTACAGCTTATTGTATTTGTTTTGGTGAGTTTAATCATTCCCTTTAGGCTTTTTGCTGTAAACACTGTCTTATCAGATAAAATGCAGTGTTTACATTACAGCCTAGGGATAACTCCACTGGCCACTCCTCAGAAGGCTACTAGAGGTGCTTCCTGGGACAGTGCTGCACAGTGAGCAGCACTGCTATTCAGTGTCTCCAACCTCTGCATAGAGACACTTAACTTTTCTCATGGAAATGCATTGATTCAATTCATTTTTATGAGAAGATGCTGATTGGTCAGGGCTGTGGTTAGCTCTGCCCCTTAACTGCCTCCTTGATAGTCTCAGCCAATCCTATGGGAAAGCATTGTAATTAGCTCAGAACAACACTTCTGATGATGTCTGCCAAGCAGACAGATCAGGGGCAGAGTCAGCAGCTGCACACTTGAACAAAAGTAAGATTATACCTTGTCGCGGAGGGGTGGGGGATATAATGTTTGTGTTCCTGACTCAAAAGTGTTATTAATATGAATTTAAAAGAAAACTGAGTATCCTATGGGAAAAGAAAACTATAGTTTCTTTCAATATACTAATGTGTGGTTTAAATTCCAGAGAAGTGAGAATTCCCCTTTAGTCCAAAAAACTTTTCACAACTTAAAGGAGCACCCAAGAAACCATAACCACAACAGAATTGTATAGGAATGTAACCATTGGTAAAGGAATGCTACCAAGTATGCTTAAAGTGCTATAGTAAAGTTTCAGCAAAGACTCCAGAATAATGAATAATGCCAGGAATCACGTAAATTAATTTTCAGATTTGCTGACAAAGAACCAGATGGATGATATTTTTAAGATGTCGGGTTGTGCCAGCCAGCATCTTCCCAAGGTTTGCCAGGATAGTCCTTACCGAACCATAACTGGAGAGTGTAATAACCGGTGAGCTATTACTTTTTCTGTACTGACAGCTACATGAGCAGAGGCCAAGCTTTGAGTGACAGGCATTGAGGCATTTCTACAATCTTAATCAATACATTGGCAGATTCAAGAAATTGATCTCAAAATCCTAGATCAAATCTGTAGTTTGAGAATTTATGTCGTCAAGCTTTCCAGTTGGTGAAAGTACTATGAAAAAAATAGCAGCATGGAAAAGAGGAGAAGGACAGAATGGTAATCAGATAGAGTGTCCGCTGCAGGACTTGTTAATCAGGAATATGAAAAACTAGAGCTGATGTAAGATAAAAGACACTATTTCCATATCTTGTACATGTTACTTATAAAGGAAAAAAAAACAGATACACAGGCAGTGGTGGAACTAATGTAGAGAGGTCCATTTTTATCTCTCTCTAGTGCAGGAGTAGCCAAAAGGTAGAGCTCCCATGATATACCAGTTGGGAATCGACCATTTGCAGGGTTGTATATGTGAGTAGTGTTTGTGTGTTTTAATGTAAGAATGTTTTTGTTTAGATTATGTGTACATGTAGGGATGTATGTGTATGTACTATTGCCATTGGAATGCAGTGGTGTACTTGTGTGTATTGTTTGCGTTAGAATTCAGTAGTGTGTTTGCATGTAGTGTTGGCTTTTAAATGCACATGTGCTTTTGTGTGTAGTGTTGGTTTACATTTTTGTATAGCATTGGTGTTTGAATGTAGGGATCTGTTTGTATATAATTTTGGAGCTTGAATGCAGAGGTGTGCTTATATGTCATGTTTGTATTTGATTGCAGGTATGTGTTCTCATGTTGTGTTTGTGTTTAATTGCTAGGATGTATGCAAATACACAGATACAGGACCAGTGCAAGGATTTCTGCCACCCCAGGCAAATATCCATTTTGCCGCCCCCCATGAAAGAAAATACAATCTCACTGTCAGACACATACTCAGTCACTGACAGACATACACTCACTCACTAACACACATAAAGACAGACATAAACTTACTCACTCACTGACACACATACTCACTGACAGACACACACACACACACTCACTGACAGACATACACTCACTCACTAACAGACAGACAGACACACACACACACAGACACTCACTGACATACATACACTCACTCACTGACACAATTTTATTTTTTGAGGCCTATCCAGCCTCCCTACCTCCTTGGGGGTCCAGTGTGGGACAACTTCTCACTCCCCCAGCACGCTATTCAGTGCGCAGGGGCCAGAATTACATCATATTCCGGCTCCAGGCATCACAGGTGCGCAAGTGAGGAATAGAAAAGTAAAAGAACAGTCTCCCTCACCGCCCACACTGCCATCTGCCTCCTCTCCTCTGTCATTCATCGGCAGAGCAGGCACCTGCCATCAATGTAAGCAGGTGCCTACTCTGACATATTGAAGAAGCACAGCTTCGGGGGCGCCCTGAGGTGGCCCTGTGACAGGGCTCCTGTGGGTGCCTGGAGGATTGGCCCGGCACTGAGGGGGGAGGCTCAAGAGCCGCTCGCCCAGTGATGTGGCCCCATACTTACATAGATATACATACACATGAACACAAACAGATAAACACATATAAATACACTGACCATATACACACCCTGACACACAGATAGACACCCTGACAAACAGATAAACACACTGACACAAACGATATGCACATTGACAAATACACACACTCTGACACACAGATACACAAAGTGACGCACTCATCTGATGGGAGTGTGGGATTTAGAGCAGCTCTGTCCTTGCTTCTCTACCCCTTGCTGCCTGTGTCACCTCCTCTTCTGCCTCCCACATTGCGCTCTATGTGTATCTTGGAGTGAATGACAGGCTCCCACTTCCTCATAGTCTGCCCCTACAGAGGCCGGTACGCGCTATTAAATTAGCCTGTGCAGCAATGGCCCTAAGTGCAAGCGCCACCTGACTGCCCCCCCCAGATGTCTTATCGGCTGCACCTGTGGTAATTTCGCTGTTGTACACAGGGTTATTCACTACAATGAGAATTCAAAGTAAGTTCAATGTGAATTTAAACTTTTGGGCCAGAATACCTAATCATCTCTTTATAGGAGGAATCCCAGTCTTGGAGCTTCCAATACAGGATTTACACGCTTATTACGTGCTGAATATGAGGATGGCATTGGGCTCCCGAGGGGATGGACTGAAAACCGTCCCATTAATGGCTTTCCCCTACCTTTGGTAAGAGAATCCTACTATATTCATAATGTCCATACCCCCACAGTAGTATTTATTATTATTATTTTTTTTAAAGCCAAATTCATGAACATGAATTTCATTAGCAATGGCTGCAATCATGTATACACACATTGAAGAGGTTAAGCATGGTAGGTGGTGGGGCAATACAATAAGCATGGCAACAATGTACTCCACCTAAAGGGGACAAATTATAATCATCATACAATTCAGGGAGATTTTATGCAGATTATAGATATGTAGGAGTCTGCAGAAACTGGGACCTATATAATGTAATAACACATATTGTATGCAGAATTGTATTCCAATGTTGGTTGTGTAAAATAAATGTATAATCCATGGTTTGCTTATTAAACAATAATGTGGTGTTTTCGTGGGATTTAGGAATTATAGACCAAAATTGGGAAAATTGAGAATATGCGTCCATAATATCTATTTATGTCTAGCCTACAATTAACTGTTTATTGAATATATCTAAATTTTAATTACTGGCTATATAATCATGTTATTATTTCTATCTATAAGAGAAAATTAATATGAATGAGAAATATTTACTGGTTATTATGTTAATGAATGTTTACTGCACATTTACCTATAGATCATAGTAAATCATTTTATAAAGAAAGAATATTTACCCTACTTACTTTTTTAATCAGGCACGCTTAGTATCCAATGAAATTGTCCGTTTCCGAACTGAGGATATTACTTTAGACTCTGGCCGGTCCCTCATGTTCATGCAATTTGGCCAATGGACAGATCACGACCTTGATCTTTCTCCTGAGACTCCAGCAAGAACAACATTTCTGGAAGGAATTGACTGTGACCAAAGCTGTGCACGTGAACCCCCCTGCTTCCCTCTGAGGGTAACTATCTTTAAAAAAAAAAAATCTGTTTATATATTTGCAGAATAGTGATTCTTCAGCATGTAGTCCTAACAGAACGACGTGAATATTTTATAAAAGGCTTCTAACAAGGATCTTTTGAACAGTATATTGTCAGCAATTCAAAGTGAAATTTATATTGTCGGACAAAATGGATGAATTCAGAAGATAACTGACCTGAATTTGTCCAATTTGTCAGTTATGCTCTAAATTTCAGTTGACAAAATGTGCATAAAATGAATATGTTTCAGCATTTGTAGCAGAAATTGCCTAAACATGCATTCTAAAGGTACCGTATTAGTTGAAGAATGCTTCTCAAGAGCAGATAACCAAAAAGTGACGTGCTCAAAAAAATAAATAAAATATATATATATATAACTAGGTAAAAACATATGAATAAAGTGTATACAATCCAACAGCATTCACCAACAAAGTGAAAATAAAACACCTAATACAACGGTGGTTTGTATTGTATTGCCAAAATGCTTCTCATTTAGAAAAATTGCTTTGATCTATATTAATAATATTTAATCATAATTAAGACCTCAAGTCTTGGTATGCTGATATGTAGTTCCTTCATCCCAAAACATTTTATTTCAGTGTTTACTGTTATAAATACTCAATAAAGGGAAGTAAAAATGTTACTTACTTCTGCTGCGCTTCTGTATTGCTACAATATCTTCATCCCATGATGACTTGTGAATTTTAGCATGAGTGCTGGCATTTCTTCAGAAAAAAAAAAACATGTATCAAAAAAATATCAAAAAAAAGTATCAAAAATTTATATAAAAAAAGTACATTTTAAGGATTTAAAACATGCATTCCTGACCCTATAGAGTTAAAACCACAATTTAGATGGCTTGCCCCCCTTAGTCCCCTTAGAAGGGGTTAAAACTCACCTTATTTCCAGTGCCGCGGGTCTTCCAGCACTGGCCCATCCCTCGTATGCTTCCTTGTTGACATCATCAAAATTTACAGTTTTTAGCCAATCCAATGCTTAGCTATAGGGCAAGGAGGCTGGATGGGGGCGGGGCCAGACACTGTTTTGGCAAATCAATGCCTCCACGTAGAGATGTATTGAATTAATGCATCTCTATGAGGAAAATTCAGCGTCTCCACGCAGAACATGTAGATGCTGAACTGCAGTGCTGCCTACTGTGCAGCAATGCACCAAGAAGCACCTCCTATGGCCATCTGAGGAGTGGCTACTGGAGGTGTCCCTAAGAGGCAATATAAACACTGCCTTTTCTCTGAGAAGGCAGTGTTTGCATGAAAATGCCTGAATGGAATGATTATACTCACCAGAATAACAATATTAAGCTGTAGTTGTTCTATTGACTATAGTGTCCCTTTAAAATAAAGAATAGCACAATCAATAGTCAACTTTTAGTTGTGTTAAAATTGGAGAGATGATGCAAAGAATCGTTTGTATAACTGTTGGAGAATATTAAATCCAGAAGAGCGAGATTATACGTTCTATTCAAACGTCCATCAGTCATACACCAGAATTGATTACTTTCTGGTTAGGGCCGACACTTTGGATCGAGTCAGTAAAGTTAAAACTGGACCTATAATATGGTCTGACCATGCACCAGTATGCTTAGTTATAAACAATAATGCCGAATATAAATGCAGAGATAGGTGGAGATTAAATGAAACTTTATTAAAATCGGAAAATAACATAGAAGAAATGCGAAATCAGGCTAGAGAGTTTTTTGAAAGTAATGATACTGGGGATGTTTCAAATGCTGTGTTGTGGTGTGCTTTTAAATCATATATGAGAGGATGTCTTATAAAATTGGGCGCTAATGTAAAAAAAAAAGAAGGGAAAAGAGTTGAATGAGCTTAATATAGATTTGGCAAACTTGGAACGTCTTCATAAGATTACCTTAGATTATAAAATTTTGGAGGATATGAAAGAGATTAGAAAAAAATTTTTAGTAAGAACTCAAGAGAAAATAAATAAAGCAATGTTAATATTAAAGCAGGGATGGTATTATGGAAACAATAAAACAGGGAAAAATCTTTCAAATAAATAAAAAAATAAACTTCAATCTATAAAATTCATAATAGCTGGAAAAAAAAAACTTTTTTCGCCAACCCAAATTGCCAATGCATTTGAAGAATATTATAAAAGTTTATATAATTTGAAACTTAATGAGCCGTCCGAAGGGGAAATACAGCAGTTTTTGGATAAATTAAATCTGCCAAAAATATCTATTGAGAAACTAAGTCAGCTAAATGCTCCATTCTCCATTCAGGAGATTAGTAATACTATTAAAGCATTAACAGCGGGCAAAGCCCCAGGACCAGACGGTTTTTCATCGATATTTTATAAAAAAATTAAACAATATAATTTCCCCATATATATTGAAGACATTCAACGAATTTGCTACTCATAAAGTTATTCCATCGGAAATGCTCCAGGCCTCTATAATGCCAATCCCTAAACCAGACAAGGACCCAATATATACTTCAAACTATAGACCAATTTCTCTTATTAATCTAGATATTAAAGTGTACTCTAGAATTCTGGCTGATAGACTTAAACAAAATAAACCAGATATTGTACATTTAGACCAGAGTGGGTTCGTAGAAGGCCGGGGTACGTCTGATAATATCAGGAAATTAATGAATGTCCTATATCATGCAGCCCAAAGTTCGACCCCTTTTGCCCTGGTCACCCTCGATGCCGAGAAGGCCTTCGACCGTGTTCACTGGAAATACTTGGAAGAGGTTTTGAAGGCCTTCGGCATAGAGGGCGTCTTTAAGGAGTGTACAATGGCATTATATACAGATCCCCAAGCCAGAGTTTCAGGATTTATGTTTCAATCGAAATGGTTCCCAATTAGAAATGGGACGCGACAGGGCTGCCCTTTGGCACCCCTGCTATACATTCTCTCCATAGAGCCATTGGCAGCTGCGATTAGACAGAATGAGGGTATCAGTGGGTTAAAGGTGAACACAGTGAAGAACAAAATTGCACTTTATGCAGATGATGTTCTATTGACTCTTACGGATCCTATTAGATCTATTCCAGCGGTATTTCATCTGATTAAAGAATATAGCAAAATTTCAGGCTATAAAGCAAACATAAATAAAACACAAATCCTGTTAAAAGGTTTAGTTGGGACCGGGGAAAAAAAGCTTAAGAAGGAATTTAAATGCGACTGGGAAGCCAGGAATATAAAGTATTTAGGGGTAAGATTATCCTTGGAATATAGAGAAATTGGAGAACTTAACTATACAGAAATCGCTACCCAATTCAGGAGTATTCTAAAAAATTGGAGAGGGTTAGAACTGTCGTGGTTGGGAAGAATCGAAGCAGTAAACTCCTATTTACTCCCTAAACTGACATTCTTATTTGGTAATCTCCCGTTGAGGGTGTCATCCCAGACGAAACGCGGTCTTCAAAAACAAATATCACATTATATATGGCAAGATAGGAGACCTAGAGTGTCATTGGAAATATTACAGAGAGATTGGAAGGAGGGGGGGGTTTCTTTTCCGGACGTACAAAAATTATATACGACTAATATGGTAGTACATTTAATTAAGTGCGATAATTTTACAAAATCAAGACCTATTTGGTTAGTTATTGAAAAATCGGACTTGGGTAATATCGAACCTTTATTTCTTATGTGGTGCGATAGCGAATTTGTAAAAAATATAAAATCGAACAATCCGATTAATAATACAATGATCTATATAGCAAAATATTTAAAGAAAAAATATGGCACTAAGTATATATCAAGGATTGCCCCACTAACATGTTTAAAACTTTATATAAAAGACATAAATATACAAGAATGGGAAAAGTGCGGAATTGCAAAATTTGCGGAAATATTAGATGATAATAAAATATTGTCATTCCCAGAGTTACAGCTTAACTACAACCTTCCTTCCAAAGAAATATTTAATTATTTAAGAATAAAATCTTTTATCATAGGGAAAACTTTTTCGGAAATCTCTCAAATTGACCAGTTTATACCATTTCACCACAGGAAAAAAATTGCCTCCAAGTTTAATCAATTTATAAGAAGCCAAAGGCAAATAGATAAATTGTCAGCAATGAATAAATGGGAGCAAGAACTTCATTTTTCTTCTCCGGTTGAAGATTGGCTTTTGGGCTTACAATTAGTAAAAAAAACATATTCGTGGGGTAAATATACAGGAAGTGTACTTTAAACTTGTGTATCGATGGTATCTGGTGCCCACTCGCCTTCATAGATTTCAACCCACACTTCTACCAGATTGTTGGAGATGTGGTAGGGAACTAGGCTCATTCTCCCACATATGGTGGGACTGTGAAGAGTTGAAACCTATGAAAGCAATTTTATCGGATTTTGTAAATTTTGCTCTGAATGCACAAACTGTTATTATGGCTCAAACGGTCCTGTTTCATTTAACCCCTTCCCGACCGAGGATGGTTCAGGACCGTCATCGGCATTTTTGGCTTGCCGACCGATGACGGTCCTGAACCGTCCTAACGGTCCTAGTTACTTACCTGATCGCCGTCGTTCCCCCGGCGGCGATCAGCGTGGCTCCGGTTGTAGGGAGACTGCCTGCAGCCCAGACAGTCTCCCCACACTGAATTAGGACCCCTGTGGCCATGTGATCGCTTAACACAGCGATCACATGGTCACAATAGGTGTCCATGTGTCTGCCTGCAGGGGGACTGTCTGTGCTGACAGGCAGTCTCCCTGCTGTAAAATCTAGTGTTAATAAAAAAAATAAAAATAATTATATATGTGTATATATGATATATAGACATATATTATATCTATATAATATATGTCTATATATCATATATATATAATGTCATACTAAGTGTATTTTTATATTAATATGTACTTATATTAATATAAAAATACACTTATAATTAAATTACACACGTATATATATAATATATATAATAACTATATATATTGTATATACATATTATTATAAAATATAAATAATAAGTAATTTCAATTAAATAATTTTTTTTTAAATCATAAATTAAAAAAAAAAAATTATATATCTATATGAAATTTTATTCTAACTGTATTTTAAAATTAATATATATATATTTATATCAAAATACACTTAGAATGAATTTGTATATATATCTATGTATATATAAATAAATAAAAATAATATGAAATATACATATGTCCATATACAAAATTACATAAATAATTATATAAATATACACGTAGACTTAAACTATATAAATATGCATATATATTTAAATTCTACGTGCGTATTTATGTAATAGTTTTACATAATTCAGTAATTTTATTGATTGCAATTTAAGGGACCTGCCTGCTAACCCAGGGCGAAATTCCAGAGAATTGAATTTGCTAGCACTGTATTTTACCCTGTAACGTTCTACGACACCCTAAAACCTGTACATGGGGGGTACTGTTTTACTCGGGAGACTTCGCTGAACACAAATATTAGTGATTCAAAACAGTAAAACATATCACAGTGATGATATTGTCAGTGAAAGTTACTTTATTTGCATTTTTCACACACAAACAGCACTTTTATTGATGATATAATTGTTGTGATACGTTTTCCAGTTTTTAAACACTAATATTTGTGTTCAGCGATGTCTCCCGAGTAAAACAGTACCCCCCATGTACAGGTTTTATAGCATTTTTGAAAGTTACAAGGTCAAATATATGGGTCAAATATTTTACATTGAAAATGGCCAGGTTGGTCACGTTGCCTTTGAGAGCGTATGGTAGCCCAGGAATGAGAATTACCCCCATGATGGCATACCATTTGCAAAAGAAGACAACCCAAGGTATTGCAAATGGGGTATGTCCAGTCTTTTTAGTAACCACTTGGTCACAAACACTGGCCAAAATTAGCGTTCAATTTAGTTTTTTTACTTTTTCACACACAAACAAATATGAATGCTTACTTTGGCCAGTGTTTTCGACTAAGTGGCTACTAAAAAAGACTGGACATACCCCATATTGAATACCCTGGGTTGTCTACTTTTAAAAAAATATGTACATGTGGGGTGTTATTCAGAGATTTATGACAGATAATAGTGTTACAATGTCACTATTGATAAATTTTAAAAATGTATGTTTTGAAACCGCAATATCCTACTTGTACCTATAGCCCTATAACATGCAAAAAAAGCAAAAAAGCACGTAAACACTAGGTATTTTTAAACTCAGGACAAAATTTTGAATCTATTTAGCAGTTTTTTTCATTCGCTTTTGTAGATGAGTAAAAGATTTTTCAAGTAAAAGTCAAAAAACATGTATTTTTTTCAATTTTTCATCATATTTTTTATTTTTTTTAAAATAAAATACATGAGATTATATAAATAATGGTATGTAAAGAAAGCCCCTTTTGTCCTGAAAAAAACAATATATAATTTGTATGGGAACAGTAAATGAGAAAGCAGAAAATTACAGCCAAACACAAACACCACAAAAGTGTAAAAATATGCCTGGTCGCAAATGTACAACATCGCAAAAACAGTCCGGTCCTTAAGGGGTTAAATATGCCAAGGGTTAACATAAAATTAATAATTCTTATGATCCATATTTTTATGGCAATTAAACTAGTTATAGCTAGAAACTGGAGAAATATGGGTCCGTTGGTTTGGCAAGATGTTTGTGTACAAGCGGATTATCAATGTAGGATGGAAGCAGGTATAGCATTAAATAAAGTATCCAAGGAGAAACATGAGGAGATTTGGGCCCCTTGGAATAGATATCTTAGTCTTAAAATTAAAACCCCCCTCCCTCCAATGACAACCTAACCTCTCTTAGGAAATGTAACAGCTTTATGTGGAAGTGTAAGAAAGTGTTAATGTATGTAATCTATAGATTTGAAGTGTAAGAAAGTGTTAATGTATGTAATCTATAGATTTGACTGCAGTTAGTGTACAAAAGTATAAAATATGGTTTTATTAATTATGTGTATAATATTATTTGTATAATAATTGATTTTCTGTAATATTTTAAAACCTATTTTTCTATGAAAGTTTGTATATGGATGAAATCTTAAATTTGAAAAATAAAAAATTTATACAATAAAAAAAAATTGGAGAGATGATAACTAATCTTTAAATAAAAACATATACAGTGTATTCATTGTAATTGAGCAACTATGAGTTGTCAACTTATCACAACTTACTGTAAATAAACAAACCTCATAGTGTATATACATATATACATGATAATTACAAATTATATTAACTACAAATATATGCTCTTACATATTAAAAACAAATATTTCTTAAAAGTAGCCATTCTCACATCAAGGTATCTGAATGCACTTTTAATTGTTTCTCATTTCTATTTTTATATCCATTTCTACTGTAGATTCCACCAAATGATCCTCGGTTTCGTAACCTGAGTGATTGTATTCCGCTCTTCCGCTCTGCTCCATTCTGCAATCCTGGATCACCTGTACGTGAGCAGATTAATATACTCACTTCCTTCCTTGATGGAAGCCAGGTGTATGGCAGTGACTATGCTCTTGCTTCCAAACTTCGAAACAACACAAATCAATTGGGTCTGATGGCCATCAACCAGAACTTTACAGACAATGGGCTGCCATACTTACCTTTCGAGACAGCTGAAGAAGACTTTTGTGTTCTCACTAACAGATCTTCTGGAATTCCTTGTTTCTTGGGAGGTGAGGCCTAGATGTTGGATAAACTGTTCAGCTCAAGATAGAAAAAAAATAACACACTTATTGCAGGATGGAAGGTTATCTGTTCAATACTTGCAATATACTGGAGAGTTTATGTAGGGTCTCCTTGTGGGCAACATCTAGTGCTCATTTCATTCAGTAAGGAATGCCAATAAGTGGCACAAACACAAATAAGAGAGAAATACAGTTTGAAGGTTTAAAAAAAACACATTTTTAAAAATACACGGAATAGTACCTTTTATAGCAGTGTTACTTGCGTGCCCTATATGTTGATAATACATGTCTAATGGTCTCTTTTATGGTAAAAAAAAATGCTGTCCATAGTTCTATAGTTGTCCTTAGCGAGAGTTTGTATTTGTTAACTTTTGTATTGTACATTGCTTAAAATCAAATATTAGAGATTTATCCAAAATAGTAGGGTTTTTTCATAGTTTTTCTTTGCAAATTATACAAAATATTATAAGGTAAAATAAAAGCTAGATATTTTATTTGTAGAGATATTTGGGTATCTGAGCTATTAAATCACAAATATTCGCTTGGAAGTAGAAACCTTTTTAAAAATAATGTTCTATATATTTTTAATTAATTAATCAGGAGTTTTATCTATACCAAACGATTATATAGTGAACTAATGATATTAGCACATCAGGCACTTCTTGCCCATATCAAAAGTAAAAAAAAATGCCAGGCAGGTACCTACTGTTTGAGAAATAGAGAAGGCAAATGTTAAGTCTCTTATAGGTGACATTTAATTTGTGTAGTGTGAGCAGTTCCCATTTAGGAAATCATAAAGAGGTTTAGATCACTTGTGCCGTTACAAAGTCTATTGTTTTTTTGGTTGCAGGTGACCCACGTGTCAGTGAGCAGCCAGGTCTCACTGCTTTTCACACTCTTTTTGTGAGAGAACACAATCGAATAGCAACAGAATTACGTAGATTGAATCCAAACTGGTCTGGAGAGACTCTGTATCAAGAAGCTCGGAAGATTGTTGGTGGTATCCTACAGGTACAGTGTGACTTTATAACCTCTGCAAATGATCAATCTTCAGAAAAGTCTTGACTAATAAAATATTTTTTTCAATTTGCAGAAAATTACATACAAAGATTGGCTCCCTCTGCTACTGGGTGTGAATTTCCAAAGATTTATTCCTAGATACAGAGACTACAATGAGTCTGTGGATCCAAGAGTGGCCAATGTCTTTACAGTTGTCTTTCGTATGGGTCATACATTGATACAGCCACTCATCTACAGGCTAGATGATGGTTATCGCCCTTATATGCCAGAACCAACGTCTCCCCTCCATATGACTTTCTTCAATAGCTGGAGAGTGGTGAGACAAGGTAATTATTTTTCATGTGATTTCAATCCTTCAAATTGTTCAATAGACTTGGACATTAATTTTCGGATGTACATGTTTTTGTCTGAATTTCGGCTCTTCATGCATTCGTCTGAAAGAAATACAACAAATTAAACAAAGACAGAATTGCATGTTGGATGAAATTTTGCCTTTGCAATTTGTTCTTTTGTCCGTTTATTCTAGTTTATTACAAGGAGGGAGCTACTGGCTTGTGGCTACCTCCTTGTAATATTTACAAATAGAAACTCCCTGATTTGGTATCCTTAAAGGACCACTATAGTGCCAGGAAAACATACTCGTTTTCCTGGCACTATAGTGCCCTGAGGGTGCCCCCACCCTCAGGGACCCCCTCCCGCCCGGCTCTGGAAGGGGGAAAGGGGTAATAACTTACCTTTTTCCAGCGCTGGGCAGAGAGCTCTCCTCCTCCTCTCCGCCTCCGATCCGCCCCGCCGGCTGAATGCGCACGCGCGGCAAGAGCTGCGCGCGCATTCAGCCCGTCGCATAGGAAAGCATTTACAATGCTTTCCTATGAACGCTTGCGTGCTCTCACTGTGAAAATCACAGTGAGAAGCACGCAAGCGCCTCTAGTGGCTGTCAATGAGACAGCCACTAGAGGATTAGGGGGAAGGCTTAACCCATTGATAAACATAGCAGTTTCTCTGAAACTGCTATGTTTATGAAAAAATGGGTTAACCCTAGCTGGACCTGGCACCCAGACCACTTCATTAAGCTGAAGTGGTCTGGGTGCCTAGAGTGGTCCTTTAAATATGGCATTCCCACGAGGGTACCAACAGAGAGTTAGCTATTAAACGGCTGCAAGATGCACCTGCAGCATAGATCGGAATTTCCTTAGTCCAAATGAAATTCTGAAACAAATATAATGGCTACATTTAGTTCGAAAGTGAATCAACAAAAGGATGAAATTCAGTTTGGGTGAAACAAAAATGTTGTTTGATTTCAATAAAAGAAAAAGTATAAGATTATCAAAACAATATAAAAAAATATCAGGGATTGTTTTTGCAATTTTCTAATAATCTAAATACAATCAGTCGTGTCTTCTAAAAAGCTAAAAATGTATATATTTTGGTGAAAAAGTGTAAATACTGGTCAAAGCTAAAAAAGCTCTTTTTTTTGCAGGTGGAATTGATGTGCTGCTCCGTGGTCTTATGGCAAATCGAGCTAAACTCAACCGTCAAAATCAGCTGGTAGTTGATGAATTGAGAGAGCGTCTCTTCCAGCTGTTTAAACGTGTTGGTCTTGATCTGCCAGCCATCAACTTGCAACGAGGCCGTGGACATGGATTACCAGGTAAGCCAAAATAAAGCCTTCTATTGCGTAGACACATAGCTTTATCACAGTTTGTCGTATCCATCAATTTATCAACCACTTTGGTGTCAGATGATAAATCGTAGTACCTTAAGGAGGGTATGTGATAAGAAGGACTGAGAGCTCCAGAGAGGTTAGTGAATAATTGTGCAAAAAAAAGTTTGCCAAAATCACAAAAGTACTTTAGGAGGATTAGTTTTGTTGCTGTAAATGAAAGTAACACTCCAGCATCCAAGGATACTTAAGCTACTGAAATGCTTAAGAGATTAACTTTGGGCTTCCTCCATCCTACTTAATAAAAGAGAAGATTTCAAAAGAAATTAGCACCTATGTAAACATTCTTAGTTGCACTCTCCCAGCTGTCAATCAGATAGCATTAGACAGTATCAGGGATATTCTAGTTCTGTCCCATGGTAAAACCCTTTTAGTTGGTTTTACTACTTACCTAGATCCCACGAGGTATCCACACCACATCCACTGCATCTAGTCTTCTCTAACAGGAGAACATGGATGTCACTGCTTACAGCAAAACAGAGTCACTATCACTGGCTGCACGTGTCACCAGATAACCCTCAACCACCGAGTATGGTCATGTATCCGCTTGTTTTATAGTGCCATCCAGCATCAATTTGCTAGCGGGGTCCAGGTAAGTTGTTAAATCATGCTAAGATGTTTTCCATGGTTTGCAGTGTTCTTTTAAAAACAGATACATTGGAGTGTTACTTTAACCAAAATAACCCTAATGTAGCCAACTACAACCAAATGCCTTAGAATAGCACAAGTTTTACCTTGATAGGTCTCCCCAAAATCTCATAATCAGCTGCTTTTCGTGTTTTGAGTCCATTTTCCAAGAAACATAATATATGTGTGTGAATATTTATATATATATATATATATATACACACACACACACATACATATTATAATATATTTTTCTTTTCTATTATGAATTCATGAAATAGTTGTTCTGTTTCACAGGATACAATGCTTGGAGGAGATTTTGTGGTTTGTCTGCACCCCGCAACCTCAATGAGCTTACCAATGTCCTAAATAACAGAGAACTGGCTGGGAAATTCATTAATCTCTACGGAACACCTGAAAATATTGACATCTGGGTTGGAGGAGTTGCAGAGCCACTTGTTCGCAATGGAAGGATTGGAGAGCTGCTCACATGTCTGATTGGGAACCAGCTCCGTAGAGCACGTGATGGAGACCGGTAATTCTACTTTAATAACAGAAAGAGGATATCTAATATATATATATATATATATATACATACATACAAACATATACGATATATATATATATATGTTTGCAGTGTTAAAACAAATCAAACAATGATATATTAACAATATGAATTAATCTGCACAGGTTTTATTATGAGAGACCTTCTGTATTCAATGAGGCCCAGAGGAGAGCAATAGAAAGAACAAGTTTTGCCCGTGTTATCTGTGACAACACAAGGATTACCGAGGTACCCCGGAATGTCTTCTTGGGGAACCAGTACCCACAAGACTTTTTAAATTGCTCCAGGATTCCACCACTTGACCTGACCCCTTGGAGAGCTTGAGTGCTAGCTGGTAAGAATCTTTTGACAAGTATTTTGAATGCTGAATTCTCTCAGGGCAGAATTACGGATGTTTACTAAGAATGCTGAATTCTCTCAGCTGCAGATGTTTTACGGATGTTTACTAAGACATGCAAATGTACAGGAATAGAGCCTGGGAAGATTGAAAAAATATAAGGAATAGCAGGAAACCATCCTTTTGAGTAGCACAATATGTACATTAAAGGTACACATTATGCTAGCCAAAAGGATGGTTTATTGCTATTTCTTACCCTATATAGTACCATAAAGACAATGCTCCAATATAGAAGCTTAAATATATTCTGCTGGCACAACGCATAGAAGTAGCATGCCAAAATATTAGTAAATAGACACTAGATCAAAGGACTCCATTCAACAAGACAACAATCTAAAAGCAACATATGAGGAAAAATAGAAATTTTCCCATGTGAAGGATATATTTCCAGGAATATGTAACTATATGCAATATTATACACTACTATCTCAATATTAGGATAAGTTGTAGAATTGTTGTAGTGTATAGTTTAATTGTAGTTTGGAAAATACATTAAACATAAATAGTGTGCATATACATTGTAAAAATACATTGAACAATTGAACAATTTGCCCATAGAAATACATTAGCATCCTATTAGTAACCCTTTCAGGTTGTCTTCACTTTGGTAGGCTCAACACAGTGTCTCTCTGGAACCTTCTAAAGGTTTTGGCTTTGTATTTATCCAGTGGTCATTCAGCATTGAAAGAAACACCCACCAAAACATATATTGCCTTAAATTTACACTTCACTCTCGATTCATTTTGAATTATCATTAACATAGGGGCTGATGGAGCCGCTGCTCCAGGCCCAGGCCCAGGCCCAGGCCCATGAAATAGACCCATTGCTTAAATAAATAAATAAATATATATATATATATATATATATATATATGTATATATATATATATATGTATATATATATATATATATATATATGTATATATATATATTTTTTACTACTCTTCACATGTGGATATAGAGAAACAAAACTTGTGTGGACGGGCTGACAATAAAATTAGTTTATGTAAAGCTAACTTTGCTCACTATGCAAAGGCTCTTGCTGCTTCAGTCTCTCTAACTCTGTGGCATGTTCCTTTTCTTCTACACTCACTACATACACCTTATATCTGTCCCAGACTGTATAACAGGTACTTCTGCCTGCTAGTAATAAGGTAAGGAGAGGAGTGGACCAGTGGGTGCTAGGGGACAGTCCTTAGAAAGCGTGGAGCGAGCGCATTATTTATGCCAAGTTTACAGGGCCGTATCAAGAACCCATTGGGCCTTGTGCTGACAATAAATCTGTCTTATGTCTTTCCACCCCTTTAGCCCATTAAGGACGGCATACATGCTAGCCGTCCTTGGGGACCCGGCTCTAAACGCCGGCTGGCGGCATAGCACGTCCCAGCCATCCTATGTACTTACCCGGTCGCCGGTGATCCCACGACAGCGATTCATCTAGCATCCCAGGGAGTCCCTCTGCTGCCGTTCCGGCCCCCCTGGGCCATGTGATCGTGAGGTCCTTGCGAGGACCTCACGATCACATGGACGGCATAGCCGTCCACAGCAGTGCCAGCAGGGGGAGTGCATGTATAGAATCGTATTGACAGAAAACACTAAAACAGTAATACCTCCCAATCGTCATGTATCTGATGGAGGTGGTGCTGGAGGGAAACTCAAAGGATATAGCTTTAAGAAAACACATACCCTATGATAATGTCTCATTTTCATCTTTCAAGATGGGTGAGGTAAAAGGGTGGGCCCCTGAAGTGAATCACGTAACCAGATCATGTCCAAAAAAATCTTCCTGAGGAATTAGAAGGTTAGCCTGGTGTGAATGCATGTCAGGCTGCCTGGCCAACTAAGGGCATACTATGCAGACAGCACTCTGGCCCTTGCTACATGTACTGGTAAATCTCAGATTGTAGACTCAATTTAGGAGAAATTAAAAATGATGCATCATAACAATTCAGCAGTTATAATAACTCCAATAATAGCAAAAATATGTAAAAATTTGACTACTCCTAAAAAAACAAAAGATAGACTGGATACGTCATTTTAATATTAAAGACATTATTTAAATATATTTTTACTTTATGTTTCAGATAATCATGCATCACCGCGAGAATTATGAAATGCTGGATATGCTGAATCAAAATGTTTTTTGGAGATGAAGCTGCTTATGTTGCTGAATTAATCTGTCCCTTCAGAATTATCTCAAAAATCTATAAACCATTTGTTTAATTTGCAACATATCTATTGAGACAGACAAATAAAATAAAGGATTAAAAAAGACAGTGAATATCTGTGTTGTAAATTTTTTTTTTTCAATATCTGATTTTTATTGATAGAATTTTGCATAAGAGTAAAATACCAGTGGGGATACAGAAAGTAGAAAAAGGGAGGGGGTGGGGTTGGGGGGGTTACAGACGGATTGGATTTTGTACATTTCACACATTGCAGGAGCATTTACATGGTGGGTTGTACATACATGCAGGCATTATGCAATCTGCGTTCTTAGTATAATGACCATACAGTAGTTAAATGCATGTATACATAATATTCATACGTGTTATCTAATATACATAAAGAGAACATCATAACATCTTCGGGTTTTTTCAGCAATGATTCGGACATGGCAGGACTAGAGTGGAATATACTGATCCCACATGCTTAAGCACATTCAGGATGACATATATATCACCTTTAAGGTCCTATGACGCTAAATTGCATTGAGGTGCAGGCGCTAGAGGGACCGTTGATTAATGTTAATGGCTCTTGCTCGAGTGCGTGTGATTTTCCTTGTGGCGGTAAATGAGCGTCTGTTGCTGGGGTGGTAGACCAGGTCAGGAGCTGCGGAGAGGTCAGAGCTGTACTTAGTTTACTGTACCTGGTTCAATATGTGTTAATATTGGTTTTGTGGTCCTAAAGAAGGTGGGAGGGAGCCTCTGATAGGGGAATTTGTCTCCTGACATTCCCTGTTTTAGATTTAAGTAGTTTGACTAAAGTATTGCCTACTGGTGTGTTCTGGTGAGTATCATATATACGCGTGAGGTCTGTCAATCCGGCCACAGAATCACGCCATCCATTGTGCATTTGCTTAGTCGATGGCCCTTTAGATTAGTCATTTAGGAGTGTTTGAGGAGTTGATGTAGAAGAGGTAGAGGGTAGATGATGAACAAGGTAAGATGTGAAGAAAGGGGGGCGGGGAAGGCGAGGTAGAGGGACAGGGGAATAAAGGAGAGAGTAGAGAAAGGAGAGGAGGGAGAGAGGAGAGGAGCGAAAGAGATGTTAGATCAGAGAAGGTAAGAGACAAGAGACAAGAGGCAGGGGACATGAGACATGAGACCCTCACATCCGAGCGACCTTAAATGTAGTGTGAGAGAGCCTTCCATCCTAGAGACGGAATTTATTCCGAGTCGATGCGGTGTTTGTACGTGGTTTCCCATCCTTTCCATTGTCCGTTGAATTTGGTCGTGTTCCCTTTTGTTGCCCATTCCTTTTCATAGAAGTACGTAGTGTTTATTCTGTTAAGCAGTTCTTTTGCTGATGGGATAAAGTCACTCTTCCAATGAGACGCAATGCATAATTTTGCCGCAATCAGAGTATTAAGAACAGCTGCCGTCGAAGGGAGTTGGTTCATGGTCGGTAATAGATGAAGCAAGTAAAAGTCAGGACGTAGGGAGAATTGTAGCCCGGAGATAGAGTGTATGACGTTCTTCACGTAGGTCCAAAAAGTACCCAGGTGTGGGCATTCCCAGAAAATGTGTAGTATAGTGCCCCTTCCACTATTGCACCTCCAGCATGTAGGAGCAACCGTTGAGTATATTTTGCTCAGCCTATCGGGCACTAAATACCATCTCATTAGTACCTTAAAGTATGCTTCCCATAGATTAACACATTTGGTGGATTTTTTGGTAGTTGCTATCGCAGATAGCCAGTCCTTGAAATGAAACTCTGTACCCAAGTCTTTTTCCCAGTTTAGCATATAAGGTAATTTAGTTTCCTTGGACTTGTTTAATTGGGCTAGGTAGCACAATGAGAGGAATTTCGGCGGGTTACGAGTTGTGCTTATGTTATAGCAAGTGTTGCCTATTAAGCTAAGTGTTGATGGGTCTTGATATTTAATATTTGCAGTGTGCAATATATGCTTGACTCTCAAGTAGAGGAAGATATCCCTATGTGGTAGGTTGTGAGAGACTTGTAAGTCAGGGAATGTGCGAAGGCCCTTGGAGTTATACAGGGAGTAGACATGGGTTAAGCCTTGGTGATGCCAGTGCAATATCGATAAGTCTGGTGATATTATAGATAGGACTCGTAATGGTGCCAAATAGAGAAATTCTTGATTGGAACAGAGGTTCGAGCTCCATGCTTTCCAAGAGTTCAGAAGAAATTTTGTGCATGGCAACGGTGGGTGGGTAGGGCATTTCTTTTTTGTGGCCCACATCGTGTCAGATAGGGAATGGAGTTGGTTACATGCTTGTTCAAGTTTAAGCCAAATTGGGCTGGTTTTCTCTGACATAATGTCCAGGCTCTGTGCTAGCGTGGATGCTTTGTAGTAGTTTGTGATATTGGGAACGCTCAGGCCACCCTGATGGATGGGGTTCCATAGGGAGTGAGTAGCGACTCTCGGAGGTTTTCTTTTCCAAATGTGCGCGTTGATAGTTGATTGGAATTTCGTGAGAATTGATTTGGGAAGAGTAATGGGCAGTGTTCTAAAAAGATATAGAATATGAGGGAGCGCCATCATTTTAACCGAATTCACTCTTCCTATCCAAGAAGTGTTCAAATTATCCCAGGATTTCAATTGGTTGGATATTTTCAGTAGGACTGCCTCATGATTTTCTTTTATAGTTTGAGAGTGTGATAGCGTAAGTTTGATGCCTAAATATGTAACGGAAGTCTTGCGCCAATCAAAGGGGAATTGTAATTTCAAATCGGTTGTGACCTGGGGTTCGAGGTTCAGAGGGAGTATTTGTGTTTTGCTGATGTTATTTTTATAAAATGACAAGTTACCATATGAGGCAAGAGTGTTCATGAGATGGGGAATGGCACATCTAGGATTTGCTAAAAAAAGGATAACATCGTCTGCAAATAAAGCGAGCTTCTTTTCCCCTGCTGGTGTGGTAAAGCCTGGCAATAAGGGGTCTTGTTTGATTGTTCGAATGAGAGGCTCTAAACATAAGATAAATATGAGAGGGGATAGGGGACACCCTTGTCTTGTTCCATTGGAGATGTCAAAGCTTTTAGATAGGAATCCTGAGTTCAGTACTTTCGCCGATGGCGCGGAGTAAAGGGCCAGAATGCTTGTGACGAAGGATTCCGAGAATCCATAAGCTTGTAGGACAGTTTCCATGTACGTCCAATTTAGGCGATCAAAAGCCTTTTCTGCGTCCAAGGCCATTAAGACCCCGGACATACGTTGGCGAGTTGCCCAGTCGATGAGGTCCATGCAAAATCTGGTGTTGTCTCCCACTTGCTTGCCAGGCACGAAGCCTGCTTGTTCTTCCGAGACCAAGGTAGACAGCAAGGGTTTCAATCTTGTGGCTATAAGTTTGGCATAGAGCTTCACATCGGCATTTAATAGCGAAATTGGTCTTAGATTGCCACAGGTAGTGGGTGGTTTATTTGGCTTGGGTAGGGTAATGATGTACGCTTCCAGCATAGTTCTAGGGAAGTGGCCAGTTTCTTTTATTTTATTAAAAAGTTTGGTTATGTGCGGGGAAAGGTATGGTTCTAATTTGAGATAATAGTAATTCGGGAGACCGTCTGGGCCTGGGGCTTTGTGCCTGGGGAGAGATTTAATAGCCGCAGCTACTTCTGATTCCGTGAACGGGGCAGTGAGTGTGTTATTTTGTTGTTGTGAGATTTTTGGCAGTTGTATTTTTTCTAGGTAAGTTAGAATGTCTGTTTTGTCTGGAGTGTGCGTGTTCTCGTTTGCGTTTAGGTTGTATAGTTCCTCATAGAAAGATGCTAGTTCATTCACTATGTCGGTAGGATTGTATATTTTTATCTGTGTTTTTGAGAGAATGTATGGGATTTTCGTTTGAAGATATTTGGATTTCAGTTGGTTTGCTAGCAATTTTCCGGCCTTATTGCCCATGCCATAATAGTGACGTTGAAGTCTAGCTGCGTTAGTGGTGAATTCTTTGACTTTAATTTTTAGTATCTCGTCACGCGTTTCCGTTATTTGTTTCGTCATGGTACGGGAAGGGGTTAATTTGTTGACGTTTTCCAGCTTCGTGAGTTTCTGAAGCAACTTTCGTTGTAGGTTATGAGATTTCTTCTTGTTAATTGATCCTATTTTGATAAATTCACCTCTGATCACCGCTTTATGAGCGAGCCATTGGTTTTCTATTGATGTATCATTCGTTGTGTTGATTTCGAAATAGTTTTGCAGTTCGCGGGCAGTCTTCTCTAAATTTGAAGGTGTGTCAAGAATGGATTCGTTTAATCTCCATTTGCCTCGGCCTCTCGTTGGGTAAGGCACTGCTATTGTGATAGTTATTGGGGCATGATCTGACCATGTTCTGGTCCCTATCATTTGATCTAAAAGATGAGGCAATGTGGATTTATCTATCAAGCAGATATCTATTCGTGTATATGTTAAGTGGACCGGGGAGAAGTAAGTGAAGTCCTTAGCAGCTGGGAATAGGTTTCTCCATGTATCATAGAGATCATGCGAAAAAATGAGATTGGAGAATGATTTGCTGTTGTGGATGGTTAGTTTGTTAGGCTTTTTATCGTTGGCGCGTTGAACATCTAATGTAGGGTCTAGTGTACAGTTGCAGTCACCGCAAATTATAACATGTCCTTGTTTTAGTGAGGAGATTTTTTTATGGCTTTGTTGAGAAAGGAGAATTGAGCCTCATTTGGTGCATATAATGATGCTATCGTCACTTGAATCCCGTTGAGGTCTCCCACTATGATTAGTAATCTCCCATTTGGGTCAACATGTTGTTTGGTAGGGGTGAATACCCAGTCTGCATGTAGTAGGATGGCTACACCTTTGGATTTGTTTGGCGCATAAGCATGATAAGCTAAGGGGTATTTGGAGGATCGTAGATTAGGAGGGTTCTTTTTACAAAAATGAGTTTCCTGGAGGCATACTATAGCGGCATTGGATTTGTGCATATCTTTTAGAGTTTGTCTTCTTTTGTACGGGCTGTTGAGGCCTTTGACATTGAGAGAGAAAATTTTCATCGTATTAGCCATTGATTGATTGTGTGGCATTAGAGGTTGTGCTTAGGTGTCTTGTTCTTATGATATGAGGGGCAGGCTCAATCGTTTGTG